GAGATCACCCGAAATGTGAATATTCTGAATATACGATCATTTGCGACAATTGATTTTATTTTATTCTGTCATTTTTTCGTTATACTAATATCTGAAGAGGGCTCAAACCGGTAGCCGAAACTTGTAACCTTAATCATTTCTTAATTTATATTCCAATTTTTTGCGTTATGTAATTAGTTTTTATCTCTGTTAATTTTAATGTAATATATATTTTTGTGTATTTGGAAGAAATGTGTTTGACTCTTACTTCGCCCGATATTTATTTTTGTTTATTATGTTTAGAAAGAGTCCTTTATTTTGTTATTTAATTTAATTAAAGGCAATTATACATATATAATAATTATATAATCATTAAAACGATCAGTATGAAAGGAACAATCATTTCGACAATATCGTTAGAAAAATGTACCCATTTTCTAATCGTGAAGACGATATCACAGTATATACAGGAGCGCAACTCCCTGTCGGCACCTTTGATATTAGTGTTAGCCAAAATGGAGTGCGCATGCATGAAATAAGCAAGTTACCTAGCGTTGCCATGGTTATCACCTTCTTTCTCTTTTCATCCTTTTTTCGCTCTGTCAAAACTCACTAGATTTATTCGCGTCGCACTCCAACAAATGCATTGGAGTGAGTAAGAGCTGTTATAGGAGCATATTAGAGCATGCAACGTATACAAACGAATAAACCTACTATTACAATGAAATAATCTGAACTTAAAAATTAATAAAAATAAATGGTAAACATATTGAAAAATAAAGAGAAAATATAGAAAAATATTAGGAAAAATATTAAATTAACTTAAAAATGTATATTTTTGTATAAAGAAATATTATGTAATTATATATCTATGAAAATGTTATGAGAAAGCTGAGAGATATAAAAGAAATTTATATATATGTATGTCCAAAAAATAAATTTAAAATACAATAAATAAAAAGAAATTCTTTTCGTTCGATTTTCTATGTTACTTTTTTTTCACTTTTCCACTTTATCACTTTTTCACAAAAATTAGACCAATCTCTCGAGATTTCTCACACAACGTTTCACCAAATGGACAATACACATAATACTTTCCTCTAAATTTCTACTCTGAACCATGTATGCTTAAAAGACAAATGTTTAAGTGGAACATTGAAACGCTTATTTAAAAGAGAAAGAGAGAGAATAATAAAAAAAAAGAGGAAATGAGACGGGGCAACTTACTTATTTTACGCATGCACACTTCATTTTGGCCAATATAAAATCGGGAGAGTTGCGCTACTGTATATACTGTGACGATATTCTAAGAAAGATAAAGAAAATGTTCAACAGTGTGGACATCGAAAATTACCTCATGGAATAGGAGGTCTAACCATGATAGACGAAGCGTGAAGAAGAAAAAATTCAACGATTCGAATGGAATCCAGATAAAGAACAATCAGATACTTAGGTATTTTTTTCTTTTTTGTCTAATTGTATTTTTTCATCTAATAATTCTATTGTAATAATTTTTTTCTTTAATTACAGACATCAAATCACATGTTATCCTATCATTCGAATTCTCAAAAAAAGATATCCGTTAACCGTAACTGGCTACAAATATTTAAACATCAACGTCAAATTCCCTTCCGATGTAACATCGTTCTTGGAAAATGTCATGGTAAAGAAGTTCCACTTTCACCTGACACTTGGAAAGAGCTCCTCGAACAGACACGTGTCATACTGTCCCTTTTACTGATAATGAGAACAAATGGCTACATGCTTCGTCTTCAATGTGAAGACAGTACATTGGAAATCTAACGTTACGCTTCGGATGAATTAATAATCTACCAATATTGCGTCTGCAATATCTGGAAACGTCCACGGCTCGTCTTTCCATGTCCAAAAACACCTTACTTAATATGTATTAATCTCGAATACTGTGTAAATCATCTCATTTCCTCGTTAATTTCGATAACTGATAATGTTGACAGAAAATTATTGCGACTTCTCGATATCGCGTCTATCGCAGAACCTGCGAACATGTGATGTACGATGATGAATCCTTCGACCGCAATATAATCGAATATGAGTTGATCGCTCTGGTCTTCGGAGAGCATTGATCTATGTATTATCATTAAAAAAAAAATAAATATTATGATAAAAATTATAATATAAATGTAAAAAAATGATTTTATACTCCTACCCTTTCTCCAAATTAATTAATTAATGATAATATAAGAAAAAGACTCAATACTTATTATTAATAATAAGTATAGAACTATGAGCCAAGCAAGGTCTTAATGCTGTGTTATTATAAAACAAAAGTTTATTATAACATACGTTTCGACTCTAATTAGACCATTCTCAATGTTGAAACTAATACAATTTTTAAAAAAATAACTTATTTGAAAAACACTAACATGACAAACACATGAAATAATTTAGATGGTAATTATAAAATAAGTAAAAACTCATCGCAGTGTATGTAAAAATTTCCATTATGGATGGTATTGAGCGTTGTTCACTATATCAACGTGAGACATTAGATGCTGAAAAATTCGGGTAAGAACTGGAATATATAGATACATTACAGTGTATGAGGTCTGGCTATTAAATAACGAGACTGCGCGCGCAGAAGGCGTCCTAGAGGGGTAGGGTGGGAAACGAATGCAGCGTTGGATAGCTGGAAGTGTCTACTATTCCAGTACGAAAACACGTTTTT